TCCCGATATGGCTCTATATATGTGTGAAGTCACACTAGTGTCACTTCAGCCGTTCCCGAGTAATCGCCAAATTCCGACGGCCAAAAGATTTTGAAACCCCTTATATTATGTTAGTACAATTAAATATAATTAATTTGTAAAATAGAAACATAAAATATTAATTTTATTCATTAATTATCTTAATTAAAAATTTACATTTAATTTAATTTATTGAATTTTTAAATTATACTTTCTTTTGCCGTAAAATTAATTATTTTAAATAATAGACGTAAGGCTTGTATAATATACTAAAATAGTGTACTTTTAAAAGGCTTATCATTAGTTACAACGTTATATAATCGCAGTATTAGTGCTATTATATAGTTATGTAACACATAGTGTTGTAATAAATAGTGTTATTATAAATAGTATTAAAATTTAATTTTTTACAAAACATTACTCATTACTCGTCTGTATTGTAATAAAACCGGAAATATTATGACATTTTGTGATATTTATTGGCATTTCATAACAAAAATACAATTAATTAATACAATCACTTCATTTGATCCCAAGATATGGCACAACAGATGATGGAAATGATCTCTTCATACTTTACCACAGATGACGGCAATGAAGACAACATTCAACAGGTATTTCACAAACAATTCACTGTTTATTGAGTTTTATATTTAAAGTATTAAAACTTTGAATTGTTTTTGTCTCACATTTAGCCACAAATATATGCGAAGAACTCAATGGACAGATTCGGTGATGATTTGTGCGGACTTTTGTTGTCTTATCTCACATTCGAAGACCGATTCCGTTACGAATGTGTGTCCAAACAGTTCCAGAGGACAGTCTTCGAGAGTGTTGTCGACATTAGTATTAATGATCAACTAATAAGCCATAAGTCAATTAAAAGTCAAGGCTTTACTGTTAACCTAATGGACCTCAAAATTGTGGGCCAAATGTTGAGCCATATGTACGACAGTCTCATGGGTTATGAGACAACTGAATTCAACACTCAATTGTTGGCCACAATTGCCATAAAGTGTCCAAACATTCAGACCATTGACTGCCGAGGAATTGGTACCAAATATGAAGAACACATTCTGGAAATGTTAAACATATTTCGAGACAATTCCCGGAATTTGCGAGAAATTTACTGCAATTTAGGGCAAAATAGCGATCAATTGTGTCATACGTTCGGACCTCTGGTCACAAGAATTGACAGAATATCCGCAGCAGAGAAACAATCACTCATTCATTGCCACCGATTGTCGCGATTACACGTCTTCTCGTTGTCGGATGTCTTTGACAACACTTCCCAACAATTATTGGCAAAAAATTTAACGAAACTATTGTTTGGCTATAATTCAGACGATAATCAACTGTTGTCTGCATTTGTGGCACAGAATCAGTCCCTCAAAAGTCTTGTCGTGTTTTACAAGAATAATATCACTCCCGAGACGTTCCTCCAAATGGCTAAACAATTGTCACGATTAACACAATTACGGGATTTGAAACTCATTTCACCACTAATTCAACAGAATTTATTGTCTGAGTCTTTGCGTACAATTGGCTTAAACTGCAAACAATTGAAACGATTAAGACTTGAATTGAGAGGATATAACCCACCACTTGATGGCAACGCTTTGCTTGCGTTGAGATGTTATCATAGATTAAAGCGATTGGGTTTAACACTCTTCGGGACCATCGATGAGGATCTGTTGGAACCGTTGAAACTCTGCCACCGATTAACACATTTAACACTATATGCAAAGCAAATGAATTATAAATTGTTTAATAATTGCGACAAACATTGGCCGCGACTTCAATACCTTTGCGTTAAAGTTATTACAATTACTGACGAGTTTTTGGATCACATCTCAAGACTACCGGCGCTGCAGTTTCTGAGGATTATATGCCGACATGACATTGATATCAAAGATAATGATTTCTCGGATCTGTTGTCTTTGAGTCCTAAACTCAAGAACATTGAAATCCGTGTCTACAAAGTCTCAAAGTCTTATTGCCGTAAAAATTTAATTAAATGTTAAGTGATTTATAAATTGAAATAAATTGTTTTAAATATTATAAAACATTTATAACACTTAATCCAATATTTATGCTTTGTAATACTTTAATTAATTTAATCATTGGTTAATTAACGATTAATGAAATGTTAACATTAATTCAGTTAACAGTAAGTTTCTTAACTTATTAAACATTTCTTTATTTGTTTTAAACTATATTTAGATATATTTAAAACTATTATATATTTTTTACTATAATTAATAATTACTTGTATTGTTTGCTACTTTCCTGACTTAATTTTTATAAAATAATTTTGAAAGCATTAAAAATATACATTATTTACTAATTGTGAATTACTATTGCCAATAAAATACAGTAATTTGTATATTTTACCTGAAAATTATTTTTATTTTGTTTATTGAACATTTTTTTATTTATAAAATTATTAAAAATAAAAATTTAGTTTACGTTTAAAACATATTTAATTAGTCATTGTTCAATTATATTTTTAATGAATTTATTTATGAAAAGACATTTTTACTTTACATAACTTTATTTATAATAAATATAATTATCTATTGAGATAAAAGTGAAGCAATAAAATATTGATATTAATAGACTTATTTATTGCGATTAATCTTAACAAAAATAATAATTATAATATTACAACACATTTCTATTACAATAATATGTTGTAGTTTAAATAAATGGTAGTTTTTGTGTTAATTGTAAACTTAATATACGATCAAATAATTATCAAGGTTATGTTGGATCTGCAATAACATTGTTTTGAGTGCACACTTGACCACAAATTATAAGTAATTAAATTTCAATTATTTTATTAATTTTGTTACGTTCCGTACGGCCAGTATTGGACTGGACGGGGATCGCGAATATGCGGAACCGGTCGCTAGTTATACCCCAAACCTTAGGGTCATATAACTACACATTTAGCCGATGATAACACCATTTATTAAATGTATGAATGTTTAGTGTGAATGAGTGAAGACTTACGGGTTTGAAGTCTAGCACCACATTAAGGGATACAGTTATGGGTTTGGGATTTATATACGTTGTGTACATATAGTGATTGAATATACAGTAGTTTAGATATGCATAAGAAGTTACATAAGAATTGTATGACATGTATATCGGGTGACAAACTTAGGAATGTCAGGGAATAGGAGCCGATGCAGGTGTTTGTCTGTAAGGACTGGTAGTAACTGGTGATGACAGGTAATGACAACTCAGGTATCTGTCGTTTATGTCAAAACAGGGGTTACCATAAAAGGGGGGTATTATTTAAACCGTTATAATTTAATTGTGTAATATTAAAAAAAATAGTTTTGGTTTTAAGGAATGAATAAAATGCAATCATTCATTGATTATAATGAAGAATAGCCTCACATTCAGTGTTCAGAATTTCATACAGAATATGTATAATGTGTTAACTCTCATTGAATTATATATACCGGAGTATTAGTGCTATTATATAGTTATATAACACATAGGATTGTAATAAATAATGTTATTATAAATAGTATTAAAATATTATTAGTAAATGCATTATTTGCCTGTAATGTAGTTATGATATAATGTTTTGTGTGCCTAATATGGTATATGAAGGTCGACATCACAAGAATACACAATTATTTACATTATTTATCGTTAATAAACATTTCATTTGATCCCAAGATATGGCACAACAGATGAAACACATGAAGACATCACTCGAGAGCGCAGATGACGGCAATGGAAATAACAGACAACAGGTTTTTGGCAAACAATTGATTTATTCTTGAATTTTAACTCTCAATTAGTCCGATATCTATGCGAAGGACTCAATGGACAGATTCGGTGATGACTTGTGTGCACTTATATTGTCTTATCTCTCACTCGAAGATCGGGTTCGATGTGAATGTGTGTCCAAACAGTTCCAGAGGACAGTCTTTGGGAGTGTTGTGGATATTGTTATCGGTTATAAACTCATTAAAAAAATACAAAACACAAACCAAACAATCACTCAAACTATGAAAACAATGGCTAAAAAGTGTCCAAATATTCAAACAGTTGATTGTCAAGGAATTTGTCCCTCACTTGAAGTACACATTCCCGAAGTGTTGCAACCATTTCGGGACAATTGTCGGCATTTGCGGGAAATTTATTGTTGTCTTTGGGAAGAGAGCAGCCAATGGATCCGTACATACGGACCACTGGTCACACGTGTTGGAATGGTTCACCCTGATGAAAAGCAGGGTCTTATTCATTGTCACCGATTGTTTCAATTATGTGTCGACGACTTTTCCGACCTCTTCGACGACACTTCTGGACAATTATTAGTGAAGAATTTGAAACGAATTGATATAACTATTAGTTCTTATAGTACGCCAGATGTTGAACATGTGTCCGCATTTGTGGCCAAAAATCAGTGCCTCAAATATATATCATTACATGACATGACCCCCACTGTGTCTTCGCACGCAATCATTGGCCAATTGTCACAATTACCACAATTAAGGGAAATATCACTCATTTTTACAGAAATGGATGGCAACCAATCGCTGTACAACTCTTTGCGCAACATTGGCCTCAATTGCAGACAATTGAAACGATTATCACTTTACTTGTATATAGAAACGCCGGAATTCAATGTTCAGACATTGGATGCGTTAAGATTTTATTCCCACTTAAATCGCATATATCTAAAAACAGTGAGAATTAGACCACAAAATATGGAACCGCTTATCTTCAGCGAGAAAGTGTTGGAACCGTTGAAACTTTGCCACCGATTAACACATTTAACACTTAAAGTATGGGAAATAAGCCGTAAATTCTTCTTTAATTGCAACAAACATTGGCCGCGACTTCAATACCTATCCATCGATGAGAAGAACCATAACTTTAATTTCAAATGTTTGGATCGCATCTCAAGACTACCGGCTCTGCAGACACTGAAAATCAGAAGTTGGGATCAATTCTATGATCTAAGAGATTGTGATTTCAATGAACTATTGTCCAGAAGTCGTAAACTTAAAAACATTAAAATTTATAAAAACAACAATTATTTTCCGCAGGAATTATGTAAGTATTTCGGTCGCAAGAATGGATTATTGTTTTTGTAATTTATAAATAAAATACAATTTGAAAAATAAGATTTTAATGAAATAAAAATGTAAATACAATTTAATTATTAATATGCATTAATTGTCGTAAAGAATATTCTTGTATTTTGTGCGCAGAATTTGGTGTATATTATGTGTAGTGCATTGAAATGTCTTAACTCTCATGTAATTATATATACCGTAGTATTAGTGCTATTATATAGTTATATAACACATAGTATTGTAATAAATAGTGTTATTATAAATAGTATTAAAATATTATTAATAAATATATTATTTGTCTGAAATGTAATTATAATGTAATGATTGCATACCATATAAGGCATATGAGAATTGAATTTAATAATAATAACAACAATTAATTGTTTTGAATTAAATTAATTATAAAATCATTTCATTTTACCCCAAGAAATGGCACAACAAATAAAACGCCTCAAGACATCACTCGTGACCGCAGATGTCGGCAATAGACATAAGGTATTTGATAAACAGTTTAATGAATATTGACATTTAATAATAAGTAATATTGGTTTTTCACACATTTTAGCCACGAATCTATGCGAAGAACTCAATGGACAGATTCGGTGATGATTTGTGTGCACTTCTCTTATCTTATCTCTCAGTCGAAGACCGCTTTGAATACGAATGTGTGTCAAAACAGTTCCAGAGGACTGTCTTCGAGAGTGTTGTGAAAATTATTATCAGTCCTTTTCTCATATTTAAAGCAATAAAAAATGAGTCAATTTATGAAAGAATTGGTAAAAAGTGCCGCAAAATTAGGATAATTAACTGCCGAGGAATTATACAATATGTGGACCACAATCCAGACTTAGTGTACACTTTGGTAGATAATTGTCGGCATTTGCGGGAAATATACTGCGAGTTGTGGTCAAACAGCGACCGATGGATTCGTACGATCGCACCACTGGTCACACGAGCGATCGGTTATTGGAATGAATTACTCATTCATTGCCACCGATTGTCTCGATTACACGTCAACTCGTTATCCGATGTCTTCGACAGCACTTCCGGACAACTAATGGCAACTAATTTACAGAAATATTCCTCATTTTATAATCATAACGAAAATCACAGCCAATTGCCGGCATTCGTGGCCGAGAATCAGTCCCTCAAATGTGTTTCACTATCTTTGTTAAGCCATTGCGGAAATAATAGCAAAACAGCCCTCGGATTACTGTCCACACAATTGTCACGATTAACACAATTACGGCAATTGAGTCTCGGGTTAGAGATAACTGACAACAAACACCTATTGTACAACTTTTTACGTATAATTGGCTTAAAGTGCAGACAATTAAGATGTTTATCACTTAACTTACGCTTAAATAGCGTTAAATCCAATTACAAGACATTGAATTCGTTAAAATTTTATTACAGATTAAAACGATTAGAATTGAAATTTTTTTCACAAACAATTAACAATATAAAAATCAATGAAAATTACGATATATGGAAAATGTTGGCAAAATTAATAGATAGTTGTCTAAAACATTGGCCACGACTTCAATACCTATTAATTAGTGTTGAGTACAACGAAATAAACACCGAGTGTTTGTCTCACATCTCAAGACTACCAGCGCTTCAAATGCTTGTCATCAAGAGTTGGGATGAAAGCAATAATCTCTCGGATAATGATTTCAATGATCTGTTGTCCAGAAGTCCTAAACTCAAGAACATTGAAATGAGGGGAAGGAATGGCTCAAAGTTTTATTGCACTAAAACTGCATAAAATATTTAAATACTTTTGAAACAACATTCATAATATGTGAATTTAATAAAATATTTGAAAATAAATATTTAATTTATAATTTTAATTTAAATATTATTACTCTATTCTGAAAAATTACATTTATCAATTAAATAGAAAATCTCAAAACAATAAAATTACAATTATTATAATATTCTCTCTCCAACTCATATATAGTACATGTACTATCTGTGTGTAATATCACTACAGTACAGAATATTCTTATTCTGTGCGCAGAATCTATCTCTCAATCACAACCACTGTATTGTCAAATACATTGAAAAGTCTACTAAAACTGCACTATTCATTGTATAGTAAATTTACATTAGTATTTACTCTAATTTAGTTGTGTATAATGTAATTGAATAATATATTCGGTAGTTAAATATACTGGTTAATTAGATTTAATAAGGCTACCAAGATTTATATTGAGTGGTGTATTAAAAATAATACATAATTTGTATATTAAATTATCAAAGTGATTTACTATTAAATTTTTCGTTCATGTTAAATAACAGTAATGTCTAAAAGTATTATGCATTACTATTTCTATGTATTAAATAATTGATCGAGTTATTAATAGACTAAATTTATTAATAATAGTGACGTTCCTATAGAAACATAGCTCTATTATTCAATTGTTATATAATAACATTATTGCCATTTATTTTGACATTTATTCGTATTATTAATACAAAATATTTTTAAATAAGTTTATAATCAAAAATATTCATACAATCACTTCATTTGATCCCAAGATATGGCACAAAAATTGAAAAAATTAAAGACATCACTTGTGACTACAGATGACGGCAATGAAGATATTAAACAAGAGGTTTTGGCAATCAATTCTCTATTTATTGAGTTTTAATTGTTTTTGTCTCACATTTTAGGCACAACTCTATGCGAAAGACTCAATAAACAGATTCGGTGATGATTTGTATGCACTTCTCTTGTCTTATCTCACATTTAAAGACCGATTCCGATATGAAAGTGTGTCTAAACAGTTCCAGAGGACAGTCTTCGAGAGTGTTGTGGAAATTGATATTGACTACAGTTTTATGTATAAAGAGATATATAAAAGTGGAGAATTGAAACAAGAATTTATAGACATTCAAAGTCTGACAACAATCGCCATAAAGTGTGCAAACATTCAGATCATTGACTGTCGAGAACTAATTGACTGCTTTCACAACAAGATATTAATTAAAGAACGCCTTCCGGAAGCGTTGCATATTTTTCAACACTATTGCCGAAACTTACGAGAAATTTATTGCAATTTATCGGAAAATACTGAACAAATGGTCACGTTTTTTAGTCCATTCATCACTCATTTCGCACCTTTTGGTATAGAAAGCAAACAGTTATTTATTCATTGCAACCGATTGTCTGAATTAGTAGTCCACTCGCTATCCGATGTCTTCGACACCACTTCCGGACAACTAGTGGTTAAAGATATGCAAAAATTTGAGTTCACGTGCAGTCGTGTCGCTGATAACCGAATGTTGGCCGCAGTGGTGGCCGACAATCCACTCCTCAAGAAGATTGTCTTACATTATAAAAGACTT